GATTACAACTACAACTCACATACTCAAGCAAGAGAGGTCAACATGAACCGTCTTTTTAGCAGGCGGCCCAATATCTCGAGCAATCGGGTACTTGCAATTCGGAGCGAGCTCGACACAGTTCAATTTTACAAAGCAGCATAGACCAACAGCTTACGTTAAACCAGAGACGTAGGATTTACACCATACGCTGATTTTTCCCGCGATAAAAAATATCAATGACTGTGCATGTCGTAACCAGATAATGAGATGAGAACCAATTAAAAGATGATGACCCAGCAATATAGCTAGGTTGGCCCAATATTGAAATATTGTTCTGCAAAATGTACAAATGAGCTATGCCCGATGACAATAGGAAAATAAAAGAACTATATTTCTAAAATAAAAATCGTGAAATTGGGATATATTCCTTAAAAATGTAAAAGAAAAAACCAAAAACGGCTGGCCCACAAAAATATTTTTGGCGAGTACAAAAATTATTTCACGGGCCCAAAATGAATATTGGTAGTCCAATTATTTTACTAAGATTTTTTCAGTGTTGAGCAATAAAAATGCCATAAAGCAATATAAATAGATGTTCTTTATTCTTCAATCAAACCCTCCCGACACATAACCCTAAAAACCCTCCCCTCATTCCCATAGTCTTCATTGTAACTGAATTCACCTGGTAGGAATTTACAACTGCAGACGACTTTGTTATATTTAGATAAAAATAGCCACGTGACCCCCTTGACGATCAGCTGGCGATTTTTGGGCGACTTTGGGTTCATTACCTGATATCTCCGGCGTACAGGACAGCTAAGTCTTAAACTCTTGCTTATATGGTTAAAAATACAGCTTCTTTGGATTGTGTGTGAAAAAACACGGTAATTCGCGTGACATCGCACAATACACGCGCTTTGGCGAGAATTGGTACTTGGCGAGAATTGGTCGGCAACCAGTACTGGTGATACGGCAGACCAAACAACATAAAAGAGTAACTTACAGAGAAGAAAACTTACGACTAATAAAAATACACTAGTTAACTTACTTAAATCCCCAGCCCTTGTTTGTATCGGCCATGTTGACTGTCTGTGTCAATTATGATGCACTTGCACGTTTTAACGGCGTGACCCAGAGTACAGGATTTCCGAAAATGGGTGTTCCGAAGTTCGGGTGGTTAATTTATGGGAGTAAACTACGATTTTAAGAATAATAATGTACTCGCCCAATGATTTATTTTTGGGTCAGTAACTATCCATCTTTTGACAATTTCTAGTCGCCCAATCACGGTTTTGGTCGCCTTAGACGACCAGGCGACCGGCTGTGTCCTACGCTGAGGATACGATTTTAATCAGATTGTCTTCTCTTAAAACACAAATATTAAACGATGATATAAACTACTTTTGTGACCAACTTCCGGTTTAACTGACTTGCTCAGTGCACGTGTTGACCGGTAATTGACTAGTAAGAATTTGAAAAGCAGACAGTACACGAGAAGGTGTGTCCCTAAAACACAAATGTTCACCACACACACGCCATACAAAACCTGGTACATCACAGCAGATCTAAGTGATTTTTCACACAATAACTAGTTAAATCAACGTTACTAGCATAATATGCATGTTGGGGAAAGGTTTTATTTCAACTAATACATTGATACTATGAAGATTAAAAAAAATGTAAACAATAACAAACAGACAAGAGGCCATAGTTTTCGACTTGAAAAGAAAGTAATCCTTTAAATACATCCATTCAGCCATTGCAGTTCCCTGTCAAATCACGGCGTCACAACACAAACAAAACATCTGATTGAAGACCCGCTAGATAAGCGTTGAGGACAACCAGAAATTGTCTCACAATCATGAACTTGACAATAATGTACGTATCCGTGCGTCAGCATAGAGACTGACGAGACATGTGATCTGAATATATATTCAGTATTATCACATTATACAGGTGTATAACAAATGAACTTTGTACTAAAATCGGTCGACATCGTGACATTACTTAAAGCTGAAAGCGAGAATGTGCCATAAGTAACAAACAGCTTGGAAGTGTTTCAAAATCTTCAGGTGATGAGTGTGTTTGATTTTTGATATCGTTTGCCGATCAGGGTGTGTGGTGCATTGAATCGCAAGGCTGTCAGTTGTAGAATGATAACCGGTTTGATTATTGATTGATTAATAGGTTTTACGTCCGCTTCACTACCGAGTAGTTCGGTTGTCCAGCAGACGAATTTATACCCAGCGAGACCCATACTCATTACTAAGCAAGGACGAACTAAAATGTCGGCGCTTCTTTCGAAACTATAGTCGGAAGATACGAGGAAGATCTCAAAACCAGAAAAAAACTGATGATATTCCTTCTACTGTCAACTCTACCATTCAATGAAGTGTTGATATCTATATATTATTTGTAGGCAACATGTACTCCCTGCACTATATTGATTTATTACATGTGTACTAACAGGGACGTATAGTGAACAGCATACAGTGATCAGCTAATTAAAACTAACCGCCTGAAATTAGCATAAAAATCAAGATTTAAATTTTCTACTGTTATTAGATGATGACATCAGATTCAATCAAGTATGCCTCAATCGAGGAAAATGTGCATAACCCTGGCCTGCCCATATGCATTTGTTGCAGATGTCATATTAAAACTTGTCTCATATAGGAGATGATAAATCTATAGCTATAGTTCATGGGAACAGTGGTTATTGAGTGATATTGGATGTCAATATTGTTGACCAATTATCAAACATATCTTTGATTTAAGTTAATTTGAAATACTTGTTTTAAGTCGTTATCATTTTTTTTCATGTGCATTATGTACAACATTTAGCAAATATTACTGAAATCTCAATGACATAATTGTTGTAGGTCTGGTTCGGTAAGCATGAAGTGTTATGAAGTGCCAGTTTGCCAACCTGATCACTGGTTTTTGACAGCAGACCGTCTACTTCCTTGATACTCTGAATAACTCCTACAGTGAAGAGGCATTTCCTGAACAATGGAGGTAGTGCATATAAAAATGTATCATGTTTCACAATGTTTGAAACTGTTTATATGCTGGTATACATGTAAATTATTATTAGGTCACCACCCGTCTGTAAACTTTTAGATATTTTCTTAAGAACCGGGGAATGAATCTTTTTAAACTTGGTAAGCTTCATCCTTGGTGTCCACTTGTCCTGAAGTCGAACAGCTCAGTGGGTTTTGACTACATTTGGCCTTGAGTTCGAGTATCCTTGGTCAAAAGGGACCCAATTTTGTATAAACAGAGGGTGTGACCCTCCTGGGGGCAGAGGAGCGGGGTCCAATAGGGGGGAAATATTGATAAGTGTTTAAATTATTCTCTTTCAATATGCTGAGAGACAGAGCCTATAGTTGCAGTACATGATGTATTTAATCACAATATGTTCCCGTGGTTGTTTCAATATCCAGTTGAGGGATTCAGGCCCTCTAGGCCTCTTGTTTGTCTTTTTTTTTTTTTTACATCTAATGGTAACTAGTGATGGGCCAATACTTGATAATATGACTCAAAATTGATAAGCTTGCCTTTTCAATTATTGATTACGGGTACAAATTCCATAATTTGATCTGTCCATTACTGAACTCAAGTGTCAAATGTAGATTGTAAGTCTGAGCTATTTATTTTGTTAAAGGCTTAACAAAAATAAATCAGGTTGGCTTCCTGTTACATGTTAAGTGATTCCTTGAAATTTTACCAAAATAATAGGTAGGCATAAAAAAATAGGATGGTTTCCTGTTACATGTCTGAACAAAAATAGGAATTAGGGTTGGGTACATGTACATGTAGTTAATGTTTTTTCCTTTTTCACAACGCTTATGTAGGAAGTGATCCTGACTTTAACAGTGCTTCCTTGAAATTTGACAAAAAATAGAGGAGGCACAAATCATTAGGGAGGGTAACTGGAAACAAACAACATTTCTTGTTTGGCTCAATATTTATTATATGATTGATGTTATAGTTAATTATGTAAAATACTGAAGCAGGAAACCTAATGTATAGTTAACAACTCTGTCTATTGATTCAGTAATTAAGCACCATAAAATTATAGACTTCATAATTATGCAATCATTCATCCATCAGTTTACTACTTCCAGTAAACTGACCATCGGATATGCTTTTGAAACCAGATGCCTGTCACTTAGGTGACATTTAATGCAAAGACATATTAAACACACTACAATTAAACTTCATGCTGATCAATAAAAGAATTTAATATTTTGTTAAGTTACCTAAATGGAATGTCAAGATTTATATGGATAACCCGTCATAGTTTTAACTTGTTATTTGAATTGTCCTCTTTATTCAGCGACATCCTCGAGACACAATAACAGAAGCTTTCTAAAGACATGCAAACCATGAGATGGAAACTTGCTTTGTAATTCACTACCAGTGACTGGCAGTCCTGAAACAGGTGGTTAGCTTAAGTATATTCAAAATGAGGTGTTATTATAATAAATTAGTCCTATTATCATAAACACAGTTTCGAAGTTCCATAGTGGGATCTGTATATATACTTAAAATATATGTTTCTTCTATGAAATGATGCTGATGTATTCAAGGTATATTATGTTTTATTGTAGGTTTAGTATGAACCAACTTTTAGTCAAATTTCAAAAATTGAATGGGTGACCTCGCAGAGTATATATTGCTATTCTCCCACAAAAGCATATCATACAGTTACAACTATCATATCTACAGTGTCTATGTCTGATTCATGACAATATTTTATTTTTATTTTTTCTCCAGAATGTCCAACTTTTCTTGGCAAATCCAGACCTACCATCAGGATGCAGTGTCATGTAAGACACTGCAAGAGCTTTGTCTTTCTGGGATTCCTAAGCCTTTGAATGGAGAAAACAAGACATTGCTGCATATATGACGATGAAAATACCATATTGTTGGACATTAATTAAAAAGAGCATTGACCAATGACATGTATACCGTGGCTAGTGATTGATAATTGTTGTGATTTTTCTGATTTGGCCATACAGTCAGAATGAAGGAAAGACAAATATCATGGTTCATGAACTTCAGATACACTTTTAAGCTCCTCTGGTACAAACTGTCATAATCTTATGGTATAGTGAAGTGTCTGTCATAAGTCTGTCTGTCAACTTTTTCTTTAAATTACTTTTTTAAATTGAAAATCACAGGGCCCTTATATTTGGTCAGCAAGTACCTGGGATAAATACTTTAAAGTTTCATCATGTAGATTACCTTGACCTTCTTTCAAGGTCACAGGTGTCCAAAACAGGCATCAGTTTCTTAAAAACTGGTCTTGAGTCATGATATTTCATGATGATTATATTTTATTCAGTATTCCTTTGCATTGCTTTGTTTTAAAAAAAAATGTTTTAAATTGTTCCATCAAATATATGTACATGTATGTAGATATATGTAATGACAGCATACTTGTTGATAACTTTGTTGTAGTGATTGTTTTGTTAACTTTTATGCATATTGATATTTTTTTATGAAATTAAATCATTGACTGATGTAAATATGTATGTTGTTATTTATCTTCATCTTTGTATGTTTGCCTCACAACAGAAACGTATACGTCTCTGCTCACAAGTTACATTTTTTATTCCCAGCCCCTACTCAACGAAGTTTGCAGAGGATGAATAAATGGATTCGTTCTCGCCCTCCATTCCCATTAAGAAAAAGTGTTGGGTCCATTTCTGGGTACATCTAGGTAATACATGCATAATGATGGCATCAATGACACAGCTATAGGGACACTGATTAATGTGTGTAGATGCTGAATTTGACTTACATTTTAGACTCCAGTGACTTCCTTCTACATTGTACATCAGTGCACATTAAGAAAAGTTGTGTAAGTCCATATCTCAGTAACAAAAACTATTATATGGTTAATACTTAAATTAATGATGCAGGTAGGGTTGCTCTACTGAATGCATACATGCATGATGAGGATGCTTAAGCTGACCTTTCATTAAACACTTCAGTACCTTTCTTTTATTTTAAATATAAATGTAACAGGAAAGAGAATAGTGTGCTTCCACCGGGGATCGAACCCTTGATCTCCAGGTTCCTAGTTGGACGCTCTACCACTGAGCTAAAGGGAAATTCCCTCTAGCTCTAAGCTAGGAGGCGACCTTAATCCTAATGTACAATTGAACCCTGCCACACTACTCCAACCTTTTAAAATGTGTTCGCCCTCGGACACCACAACCCATGTTCTAACTCCCTGTCACTACAGGAAGGGCCACAGACACCATTTGTAACAAGAAAGAGAATAGTGTGCTTCCACCGGGGATCGAACCCTCGATCTCCAGGTTCCTAGTCGGACGCTCTACCACTGAGCTAAAGGAAAATTCGCTCTAGCTCAAAGCTAGAAGGCGACCTTAATCCTATGTACAATTGAACCCTGCCACATAAATAAACTTTAACCTTAAAAGGGAATTGCATATCTTGGTAATTGTAAACGCTGCATAGATATTAACTTTAAAAAAATGTTCAGTGTTGCAAACTAAATATATTTGTCATTATATTAGAGCAATTAAAGGTTATTTATTTGATTTGAATTATTCTGTTAGAAATATATAACCATTCACAATTGTATAATTTACCACAGAATTAAGTCTGTGAATTTACTAAATTTTGACATGGACATCTGCTATGGACTTGTCTATGAAGCAGTGGATATTGATGACAGCACGTTTTTGTTGGGTTTGAAAGTTTGTATGATTTTGTTTCAATTTAACATTCTTATCAAAAACTCCTGTTTCATTGGTATGGACAAAAACAGATAATGGTTTACTCTGATTGACTCTAAAAATAACTTGTTAGGTGGAGGAAGTTGGTTCATATTCTTCTATCTTTGACCTATGGTAATCTTGCCTCAAAAGCCACTTAAAACTCTTCTCCAAACTTCAGCTAAAATGTATATAAGAATATGACATGCACAGTACAGGTGATAAAGAATTAATTGTAATTGGGGTGGTGGTGGGGTGAGATTGTCATAGGGGGTAAGAGATTGTTAATTAAGTTACTGCAACATTTAACCTACATACTTTTGCCTTTTTTTTTTTCACTTTTGTTTTAAATGTGTGTATTGGAGTGGGGAAGAAAAGCTCTACGCTCTGTCAATATTAGACTCGCATTTAGTTTATGTGATTATTTTCTGGACTTGAGCAAGTCTAATTGTTCTTCTTGTGCAGGCCCTTAAAATGTTTCTCGCACTGTCCGAGTCTACATCAATATTGACGGCGTCATTAATATGTTCTTGAACATATATTTAATTTATGCAGTAATGAATATAAGAACCTTAAAAATACAATAGTCAAAACGTAAACAAATAACGACATTGCGTCCGTACGGTGATCCGGATGCGGTTGGGGAGCGGTCCGTGTATATTTAAGACGATCGCAGCGCAGCTTGTCGTCATAATGAGGAAACCTAACGTATTTCAACTGCTGGCTTACTCGTTTACTAGTTGACTAGCTAGCTATTTCTGAATTAAAACTTTGTTTCGAATTTCTGTTTTTACAAAAATGACGAAAGCTTCAGATCAACCGATAGAATGTACTGAGTATATAACATCACGTAAGTCTGGAATGGATTGAATACTACAAGCTAACACGAAATCGCGATCGGTAAAACTAGCATAGCATGGAATGAACACGCAATAGATTTGTAAACGAGTGCAACAACACCAATGTACATAGTATGGAAAAAGACACTTATCAACTAGGGAATTAATACAAATGAACATAGAATTAATACAAATGAACATAGAATTAGATTCAAAACCAGAAGTAACTAATTCTATAACTTATCAACTAGGGAAATAATACAAATGTACATAGAATAAGATTCCAAACCAGAAGTAACTAATTCTATAAAAAATAATTATGGCGGTGATCCCCTTCCATACGCAATATGGCTTATTATGAAATATACTGATACAAGGGAAATCACTCTTCTAGTCTTATAGATATCTCAATTCCTACATTCGCTGATTTAGCATATTGTTCAGGTTAGATACGTTGATCTCTTGGCGTTAATCATTTGTGTTATGTCTCCGTAATTTGAACGCTTAGAAGACAGATAGTTTTCGAGGTACAATTAAAACGTACCGGTGATACACCGCTAGGTGTCGCTACGATAGCAAGAGGGTATAGATAGGCAGAATCCAGCGACAATCGGGCCAGTTCTGTTCTGATCTCGGCGTGTGTACAGTAGTGACAGATCGTAAGTACTTAATATAAGTGAGACTGGCTTTGTGTTGGAAATATAGAAGTGACTGAATAAGTCTTGCCTTGATCCGCACACTGCCTGGAAGATATATTAAATAAACGATTGAGTGCTGTAGCGAGATACTGTTAGACAGAAGGCATAGGCTGTGCAGGACCCCGGAACGTTAAAATTACCCCGTGATTAACAAGATTGAAATCATTGGTCTTTGTCAGATGCCAGTGTTGTCTCTGTTCATCCCTCTTTCTCTTAAATTTATTCAAAATGACTGAATAACAATAGAAATGACAATTAGTACGATTTTTAGGTCACCTGAGCTTTAGCTCAAGTGACCTATTGCTATCCGTTTTCGTCCGTCGTCGTCCGTCGTCCGTCGTCCATCGTCCGTCGTCCGTCGTCCGTTAACATTTTACATTTCAAACTTAAAGTCAAGTTCTGCTGGGCCGATTGAACTGAAAGTTGGTAGGAATGATCGCCTCATGGTCCTGACAAAGTGTTGTTATTTTTCGGGTCGATCAGAAATCCAATATGGCCGCCACGGCCGCCATTTTGAAAACCTATTTCAAACTTAAAGTCAAGTTCTGCTGGACCGATTGAACTGAAAGTTGGTAGGAATGATCGCCTCATGGTCCTGACAAAGTGTTGTTATTTTTCGGGTCGATCAGAAATCCAATATGGCCGCCACGGCCGCCATTTTGAAAACCTATTTCAAACTTAAAGTCAAGTTCTGCTGGACCGATTGAACTGAAAGTTGGTAGGAATGATCGCCTCATGGTCCTGACAAAGTGTTGTTATTTTTTGGGTCGATCAGAAATCCAATATGGCCACCACGGCCGCCATTTTGAAAACCTATTTCAAACTTAAAGTCAAGTTCTGCTGGACCGATTGAACTTAAAGTTTGTAGGAATGATCGACTCATGGTCCTGACAAAGTGTTGTTATTTTTCAGGTCAATCATAAATCCAATATGGCCGCCACGGCCACCATTTTGAAAACATATTTCAAACTTAAAGTCAAGTTCTGCTAGGCCGATTGAACTGAAACTTTGTAGGAATGATTGACTCATGGTCCTGACAAAGTGTTGTTATTTTTCAGGTCGATCAGAAATCCAATATGGCCACCACAGCTGCCATTTTGGTAAACTATTTCAAACTTAAAGTAAAGATCTACTTGGCCGATTGAACTGAAACTTTGTAGGAATGATCGAATCATGGTCCTGACAAAGTGTTGTTATTTTTCGGGTCAATCAGAAATACAATTTGGCTGCCATGGCCGCTATTTTGCTACTAAGTTCTAATAGGCCGATCTCACTTAAAATTGGTCTAGGAATGATCAGCTCATGGTCCTGACAAAGTTAAGTTAACATTATACTATTTTTTACTCAAATTGGTACATATTTCAACAACAAAAATAAATACTATAGACTCAGGTGACCGTTAAGGCCCATGGGCCTCTTGTTTTGTTAAATATCCAATATACAGTATGCAGTGTTGTAAGAATTGAAATATCCGGAATAATACAGTATCTGGTTTAGTTTGAATAAAGCATTAATTCGGAAGCCTCAGTTTCGTATTTCTTAACCGGAAATGAACCATGTGAAAGTGAAAGTAAGAGCTTAATGCCACCAAATATACGTCTGATTATAGCGGTATTAACATTATTTTAAAAGGTTAAGCATTATAAAGTAGATGGGGGTAAGTGGTGGAGAAATTGATGTTCCTATGTATTTCCTAACTGAAGGAAAACGATCCTACTGCATGTATAACTTACAATTTAGTCATTAAAATGTTTTATCTTGATTTTCTTCACGGATTTCCTCTAAATGTTTTAAAAGTAATTTGATAAAATTGTATTATTACCCGTACAAATTCACAGACAGGTACATGGACATTTATTAATTGTTTCAGACTGGTTATAAACTTTAATTATTTATGTAAAAGTGGCTGGATATATTGAGGAGGATGAAGGCATTGATAATGACGACATCATTTCCAATATCAAAGACCACTCCAGTGTTCAAGAAATTTTGTTTTTAAGCCTTTTCCCCCCAAATTATATATGTAAAAATATCAAATCACTCAGTTCTAAGAAGGCAACAGGTTTTGATGGCATCTCAGCTAAACTTTTGAAGTCCTGTAGTAAAAGCATCAGCTATCCTCTAAGTAATGTGATAAATTTTAGTTTTAACGTAAATACTTTCCCTAGTCAACTTAAAGTAGCACAGGTTGTACCTATCTTTAAGAAGAAGGATGCCTTGGACAAGCCAAACTACAGGCCTGTTAGTATTTTACCATGTATCTCCAAACTCTTTGAAAGAGTTATGAGTGATCAGCTCAGAGAATATTTTAATGGTATATTTCATTCCTTCTTAGCAGCCTTCAGACCAGGATATGGATGCCAAACTACCCTGTTAAGATTAGTTGAGGACTGGCGCAGGTCCTTGGACAACCGTGAGTGTGTCGCTGCCATCCTCATGGATCTGTCCAAGGCTTTTGACTGCCTTCCTCATGATCTGTTGCTCAGAAAGTTGGATGCGTATGGTCTCCGCTCGGGCTCAGTGGACCTGGTATCTAGCTATCTGGGTAACAGATTACAACAGGTCAAGTTGAGCTCCAAATGCGGCGACTGGTTGGAAGTGCTCAAGGGAGTCCCTCAGGGCTCAATTATGGGGCCCCTACTTTTTAACATCTTTATTAATGATATGTTCTAATATGTCAAATCATCCAAACTCTATAATTATGCGGATGACAACACGGTGAGCTCATCCAATAAGGACCCTCTTGTTCTTAAGCAGTCCATTGAAACAGACTGTTCAAACTTGGTTAACTGGTTTAACAAAAACTACATGAGGGCAAATCCTGATAAATTTCAGGCCATATGTCTAGGTAGGAAAACTATTGAGACTTTTAATTCTTTCAAAATAGAAAATGTAACCATTAAGCCTGAAAAACTGTGAAGTTACTTGGTGTCAATTTTGACTCATTTTTAAATTTTGATATACATGTTTTAGAAATTTGTTCAAAGGCTTCTAGACAGCTAAATGTTCTTAAAAGAATTGGAGTTTTTTTAACAAAACAAGGTAGGAGAGTCATATACAATTCTTCTATTATATCTAGTTTTCATTTCTGCCCACTGGTTTGGCATTTTACTAGCTTGAAAAGTGTGAGAAAGATGGAAAAAATTAAGGAGCGTGCACTGAGATTCGTGGAGAGTGATTATGTCTCAACTTTTAGTCAGCTTTTAAAATCTACTAATAGTACTCTTTTACATGTTAAGAGGCTAAAAGATATGGGCTGTGAAGTTTTTAAAATACTACACAACATTTCTCCTAATTATATACGTGATTTAGTAAAACTAAGGGAATCTGCTTATGATCTCAGAAGGGACTTCACAGTCAGCATCCCATCTGTAAAAACTACAAGGTACGGGCAGAAATCCTTCTCGTTTGAGGCGGCCCGGGTGTGGAACAGTCTTCCAAATGAATTGCGGAAATGTGAATACTTCCCAGAATCCCGGAGGCTGGTCCACACCTGGGATGGTCCCATCTGTACATGTTCCATCTGTACAAAGATGAAGGATTGATTTTTGGTTCTAGGTTTTGCATTTTTATTGCTCCAGAAATAGTTGTCATGCACAAGTTTTAGTTCTTATAGTGATGCTTTACTTTCTTTTGTGTAATTCTTTTTTTATNCCATGTGAAAGTGAAAGTAAGAGCTTAATGCCACCAAATATACGTCTGATTATAGCGGTATTAACATTATTTTAAAAGGTTAAGCATTATAAAGTAGATGGGGGTAAGTGGTGGAGAAATTGATGTTCCTATGTATTTCCTAACTGAAGGAAAACGATCCTACTGCATGTATAACTTACAATTTAGTCATTAAAATGTTTTATCTTGATTTTCTTCACGGATTTCCTCTAAATGTTTTAAAAGTAATTTGATAAAATTGTATTATTACCCGTACAAATTCACAGACAGGTACATGGACATTTATTAATTGTTTCAGACTGGTTATAAACTTTAATTATTTATGTAAAAGTGGCTGGATATATTGAGGAGGATGAAGGCATTGATAATGACGACATCATTTCCAATATCAAAGACCACTCCAGTGTTCAAGAAATTTTGTTTTTAAGCCTTTTCCCCCCAAATTATATATGTAAAAATATCAAATCACTCAGTTCTAAGAAGGCAACAGGTTTTGATGGCATCTCAGCTAAACTTTTGAAGGCCTGTAGTAAAAGCATCAGCTATCCTCTAAATAATGTGATAAATTTTAGTTTTAACGTAAATACTTTCCCTAGTCAACTTAAAGTAGCACAGGTTGTACCTATCTTTAAGAAGAAGGATGCCTTGGACAAGCCAAACTACAGGCCTGTTAGTATTTTACCATGTATCTCCAAACTCTTTGAAAGAGTTATGAGTGATCAGCTCAGAGAATATTTTAATGGTATATTTCATTCCTTCTTAGCAGCCTTCAGACCAGGATATGGATGCCAAACTACCCTGTTAAGATTAGTTGAGGACTGGCGCAGGTCCTTGGACAACCGTGAGTGTGTCGCTGCCATCCTCATGGATCTGTCCAAGGCTTTTGACTGCCTTCCTCATGATCTGTTGCTCAGAAAGTTGGATGCGTATGGTCTCAGCTCGGGCTCAGTGGACCGGGTATCTAGCTATCTGGGTAACAGATTACAACAGGTCAAGTTGAGCTCCAAATGCGGCGACTGGTTGGAAGTGCTCAAGGGAGTCCCTCAGGGCTCAATTATGGGGCCCCTACTTTTTAACATCTTTATTAATGATATGTTCTAATATGTCAAATCATCCAAACTCTATAATTATGCGGATGACAACACGGTGAGCTCATCCAATAAGGACCCTCTTGTTCTTAAGCAGTCCATTGAAACAGACTGTTCAAGCTTGGTTAACTGGTTTAACAAAAACTACATGAGGGCAAATCCTGATAAATTTCAGGCCATATGTCTAGGTAGGAAAACTATTGAGACTTTTAATTCTTTCAAAATAGAAAATGTAACCATTAAGCCTGAAAAACTGTGAAGTTACTTGGTGTCAATTTTGACTCATTTTTAAATTTTGATACACAGAAATTTGTTCAAAGGCTTCTAGACAGCTTAATGTTCTTAAAAGAATTGGAGGTTTTTTAACAAAACAAGGTAGGAGAGTCATATACAATTCTTTTATTATATCTAGTTTTCATTTCTGCCCACTGGTTTGGCATTTTACTAGCTTGAAAAGTGTGAGAAAGATGGAAAAGATTCAGGAGCGTGCACTGACATTCGTGGAGAGTGATTATGTCTCACTTGTATGTATTTACTTGTACTATCATAGACAAGAAGTAATATTTCATTTGTTAATACATATATACAGTAAGTGATATTTCATATTCAGGTGCATGTTCTTTAAAGTCTTTGAGATATTGATCACTAGCGATACAATTGTATTTTGTGACCTAAAAGCATTTCACACAAGCAAGATACATGGTAACAGCATGCCCTTTATTACCATTCAAATATAAGATATCATGGTAAAACATATATTTATATAATGAGAAAATAAATAAATAAATGATACTATTTTCCATTCAACCTCCTCCCCCCAATTTAACAACAATAGCAATATATATAGGAACCTCTCTGTAGTAAGTAATTGCATGTGTTATATCAACTGTCTGTGATAGTAAATACAGGTGTAATACATGTCTGTGATAGTAAATACATATGTAATATCTGTCTGTGATAGTAAATACATGTGTAATACCTGTCTGTGATAGTAAATACATGTGGAATACCTGTCTATGATAGTATATACATGTGTAATACCTGTCAGTAATAGTAATTACATGTGCAATACCTGTATATGATAGTATATACATGTGTAATTCCTGTCTGTAGTAGTATTTATATGTGTAATACCTATCTGTGATAGTATATGCATGTGTAATACCTATCTGTGATACTATAAACATGTGCAATACCTGTCTATAGTAGTAATTACATGTGTAATACCTGCCTGTAGTAGTTTATATATTGCTGAGCATCAAAATTTGGATACAATTTTGTTAAGATTTTCCCAGGAGACTGGTCCTAACTCGGTGCCTCTTGTTTATTATAAAATAAAAACCAAGATGTCTTTACAAAGAAATATTGAGAAGGTTATATATATACTGATTTGTATACAGATTATAAAAACTAGTTAACAGGGTATATAAGAAGTGGTTTACAGAGTATATAAAGAGTGATATGCATAGTATACATAGAGTGGTATACAGAGTATATAAAGAATGGTATATAGAGAGTGGTATATAGTGTACATAAAAAGTGGTTTACAGAGTACACAGGGTGGTATACAGAGTATATAAAGAGTGATGTGCATGGTTGGTATACATAGCGTGGTTTACAGGGTATATTATAATTTGTCTAGATAATACATAAAGAGTGGTATACAGTATATGTAAAAAGTGGTAAACAAGCATATAGAGTGGTATACACAGAATATAAGGAGTGGTATACATGTATATATGGAGTGGTACACACAGTATATAAAGAATGGTATACAGTATATGAGAAGAGTTGTATAGAGAGTATGTAAGGAGTGGTAAACACATCATATAGAGTGGTATACACTGATCTTCCCCCNGGAGTGCTATATCTTTACTTCATACCATTTATTTTAAACATATTCATGTGATTTATATGACAAATTTACCGGTTGTCAATTTTTTTGAAATTCCTGATGTTGAAAGATACTATTAGTAGCCAACTTTTAAGCAAGTATGAAATAAAGACTCGTTTTAGAACTATGTAAATTAAATAAAATTTCACATAGTTTTCGTCTTAAATCTTCAATAAAAAGAACAGTTCTTTCTTGAAATATTGTAATATTCGGTATCAAAATAACAATTGGAATATGTTGCACACGATGATGATATAATTTTATAGTAATTGTGTCATGTAAATGCTTTAGAAGGAATTGTATTATCGCACCTTTAACACCCACACAGGTGTAGGTCAATGAGGTCCCATTTATCATAAAATGTTTTCTGAAACTGACTGTTCCTGATTTAAGTTTCATTTACCCATACGTTTTTGCATTTATCTCCACAAATCTCCATAGGCGTTGACCCTACCTTTGAATGTTTGAAAAAATGAATTAAAAAAAACCACTAAGGGGGGTCGAACTCAGGATCGCAACCTTTATATTGCAAAGATTACATTTACCGAAGCTGCAAACAATGAGTTATTATTTCAAAGCATCATAGTGAATGTCCAATTTATAGGACGCATATCTAAGAACAATTTAAAGGAGAAATAACTCTAAACCTAACCACAAACGTCCTTTTTAGTACATGTAGCTACGGCTTATACTGTTAATAAAAAGGGAGCGAGTCTGAGTGGCTCTGCTGTAACGGATCCAGTGGTACCCGTTACTGGGATCCTGCGAGTTGTCGTACTACTGTGTCCATGTAATGACATTTCTGTACATGATGGTACTTTATAAACCTATGATGTTACAAAGAGGAAAACTCCAAAGATATAATCGTCCAATGACCTTTGATGTTCAGAGACGAAAACTCCCAAGATACAACCGTCCAATGACCTTTGATGTTACAGAGACGAAAACTAACAAGCAACAACCGTCCCGTGACCTTTGATGCTGCAGAGACGAAAACTAACAAGATACAACCGTCCTATGACATTTTATGTTACAGAGACGAAAACTCCCAAAATACAACCGTCCCATGACCTTTGTTGAGAAAAATATCCTCACACCACATTTTCATGGACTTGAAATGTATCAAGTTTAAATTATGAGAACAACACCTCAATACTATGTTAAAAATAACTTACACATACAAAATTCCTACCAATTTTACTAAAAACTCCTAAAGAATGTCATAAAATATAACACTTAAAGACATCTCCTTGTAATGTGTTCGTAGATGGGGTCCATGTTGAGAGACGCGATTGCTCGTAACCTACGGAAGCCTGGCGCAACTTTAGTCGGACGAATAGTAACGGTAAGCTAGGGACAAATAATGATACATAGTTCCGTAAATCTCAAACAGAAAACCCCAAGATAAAAGTAAAGTGAATACCGGGAAATGCTTGCTACAATGTAAAGTTCACAGTGTTCTCCTTCCGTTGTGGGATCAATTAATTCTTTTTCCACTGGACAATACTTTGACATATGTCAATCAACCAGCAATAATCGACGTAGCGAAGTCAACGTGCATATACCATAATCACGTTTTTCTTTGTTCACAATGTTTTATATTTAACAAAAAAATAAAGTATATGTAGTATTTTTACATCTATGTTTTGATAAAGATTCATTATTTCGTTTAGTTTTTAACTATTTGAAATACGTGTTCCATACATAGTGCATTAACAATGGCTATCTATCAGAATACCCGTCCCAATGTGTCATTTTTTACTACATATATCTTTTTCGAAATCTAAGAAAATAATCAAATTAACAAAGCAGGCATTGCTGTATATTTCAGGGTCTTTTGGTGAAGAGGAATGGCACATTAGAAAGAGAAGCAGTACGACTTTGTAAAATACAACCGGACCGTCAAGTGTTAGAGCTGGGGTTTGGTCCAGGTCTCGGGATTGAAGCCGCGTGCCAACTTGTCAGGTATACTGAGGTTTCTTCATTGAAGAAAGTATGGTTATTTTGAATGGCGTTGTCTTCGCTTTAAAGATTACGTAAGAGTGTGTTATCTACCCGAATACATACTGTACATGTAAGTATATACAAGTATACGTTTTATAGAACGCAGCCATCTACCTTATGGTGTGATCGTAAATGAAACCCTCATTTATATATCAAAGGTTTATCTATGCGTCATTATTGCACATTACAAGTGTATACTTGCACATCAGTGACAATGATGTTAAAAACACACATTCATCTCGATATTGATACTTCGTGATGCCTCCTTTGGAACAATCCCGCCTTTATCTATTTCGTCTTTGAGTATTGCAGAGTTATCTTCCCTTGGGAGCAGGTATTGATTGTTACGTCACTTGTTTGTGAGAGTAACGTCATCTTTTTTTGAGAAAACGACGTAATTTTCTCGCACAAACCAATGACGTAACAATCAATACCTGCTCCCAAGAGAAGATAACTCTGCAATACGCAAAGACGGAATAGTGCAGAACGTTCGCGTATGTGACGAAGGCAATAGATTCTGTCCCATGCTCGGGAGTCAAAGGCGGATCCTTAATTTTTCATGGGGGTTGCAACATTCCTTCCAAAACTCTTATAAAACTGGTAGGTGTTATCCCCTGCTAACGCACAGGGACATCATACTGATATATATCTTTAGTAATACACTTGGCATGTCCCTAGGGCGGAATGATCAGCACTTAGAGTGAGCGCAACGACTGATTCTTGCATGATTAAGAAATGATGATAGAGCGGGTTTCCCCCGAGTTGCATAATTAAAAATGGTGGCACAATGGACATTTCCGGATAGAGGTATTCTCTGCAAGTTGATAAAACGAATTGGAATTTTCTCGTATTTTACCCTAGTCAACCTGCTTTAGAAAATGTCATTAAGCTGACATGTTGTTGTGAAGGACTCAATGTCACAATTAACCTTTCTACTTACTTGTAATTAATTACACTTCTCTTTTTCTTATACCGTTTCCAGTACAACGGTAATGATGCACCTTAATTATCTTGTTGAGTAAAGTTGACGTTCTTCGTATACTGTTTTTTCAAAAAAAATTGCAGGTGGTAAAGGGAAAGTTTATGGAGTTGACTTCTCGGAAGAAATGGTTATCGCCGCGACAAAACGTGTGAAAAAAGACATCGACGATGGAAAGGTGGAACTGATCAACGGTGATGTAGCAGACTTATCATGTTTCCAGTCCAACACATTTGACTGTGTTTTCCATTGTAACTGCTACTATTTCTGGCCAGATATTGATAAAGTAGCACGGGAACTCCATCGTGTGATGAAACCAGATTCACTTATGGTAACCACAATGAGTATCGAGAGAGTAAAGCGAATCCAGGCTTTAGGGTTTTTACGCTATGCGAATCCTGATCAAACACGATATATGAAAGCGTTGGAGTCATCTGGATTTTGTGATGTGCGTTCAGAAAAAGAAAAAAGTGAAAAATCTGGTAAAGTTTACGATGCAATCTTTGCGAAAAAGTCTTCGAGCTGAAAAGAATTTGCCAAACGTTAATTTGTTCCCGTGTTATTGTTAGCTGTATTATCATAGAACACAATTCCACACAAAAAAAACATGTGATCTAGAGCATTGTGATGTTTTAACTGTTACAAATAATATACGCATCCCTGCCGATACTATGCCGGAGAATTATAATTAACAAAAACTCATAGTATGCATGTCATGTGTATTTTCGTGTAATGTAAATAAATGCACATATTTAAGCATTGAACTGTTACCAGATGCAGTATACAGTCAATATGAATGCAATTTGGGTGACAGATAAATAGAATGTCGTCATATCGACTGTATACTGCATCTGGTAACAGTTCAATGCTTATATTTACATTTACATGTATATAGTTTGTTTTGTATAGTAACTGAAGCAAATTAAAAATACGTTTGAATTTCCCGCTTGTCATATCCGTGACGTCAGTAAGTTCAAATCCCAGAACAGCCGACATTTCCAGAAGAAATAATATAGTCCCTCGTGTCATTGAAAACCACACGCACATAAAATGGTTTGAACACAAATTTAACTTTATTACTTATTTCACATGAGTGTGTATATGTTGATTTTTTTTAATAATTGGATAACTTCTGCTTGTTTAAAATTAAAGCTTTTTTTCGCGCATTGATAGATTACATGTATTTTGAAGTGATGCGGTGCTGAACGGACTTGTTTGTTTCCTCGGAAACGCTTATGTTTCCTTCGACTTGAATATTACGTTATTTTCAGAAGCATATATACTCGGAAATGTTTAATTGAAGTGGACCTTTCAGTAGGTGATAACGATTCCAAGGACATTTCGTTTGAAATAGATTCCATGTCTAATCGGTCAGATTAGCATCGCTAGCAGACGACGTTCACAGGGGCTCGGTTTCGTAATTTTGAGTAATGGATATCATCACTGAAAAACGCCAACACTTAAAAGGGTATTTATACACATTCTAAAACCTTATCGATACCTTCGACTTTTACAAGGTTTTAGAAATGCTGAATTTTAGTGTTGTGGTTATTCACTGATGTTATGCATAACTCAAAATCTCGAAACCGATCCCCTGTGTGATGATGTTGACAAACTTGGTAAATTCGTATCTAGAATGACGCTTACAAAAATTTTGTGGTACCTACACCCTTTTTTTGCGATGACCTACATAATGTATAATGCTAAATGCTAACGAACCCAGAATGTTTTCCGACTATAGGCCTATTGATAACGAAAGCATCGGGCGGCCATTTTTGTTTACCTTGTACCAGCTGTATTCCTACACTGTCCGTATCACAGTAAATTGTAGTATACAGACTCATATACTAACGACATATAGGCAAATGCAACACAGAATGTAAATATATATTTTTCACACTCAATTTATAGCTAAAAAGGTGTCTCTTTAGGGAAAAGTTTACCCTTTGTTAGTAACGAAAAAATGATTGATTTCGTATTGATAACAAAAAGGTATTCAACAACTAACAATGCTTAATTGATTGATGGCACTGAACCATTAACAATAGATGACAAAAAAATATTTAAAAACAAATCAAAAGAAAAAGGACAAACACTTAAACACAAATGTTATGACTACTGTACCAGCAGAGAAGACTGGAAAAGGACCAGATCGAAAGTCAAAGTAGATACTGTATTAAAAACAAATCAACATCACATTATTGTAAGATTTTATAATAACAGACATTTTATATACCTGGAAGCTCTTGTCATCGTTGATATATGCACACAGATTAACAACACAATATGTATTTGACTGAGCACGAGATACGCTCGTCATTCTAAAGCTCTTAGGTGTGGCCAGGTTTATTCAGCATAAATGTCCTGTTTTTCTCATGCAGATTTAATTTATCGACTGATTAGCTTCTAAAACATGGTTACTGATAAACAGAGGGGTGGTCCTGTGATAGCCTGATGTTTTTACCCACAATATGTGTGCTATAAAATCACCAGTATTTTAGATTCCGAAAAAAATATAAAGGTGAAAGTCAAGAATTAGTCTCAGTGACCTACATGTACAAGTAAAAGCGGTCTTCTCAACGAGCATCAACGTATTTGGTTTGATGTATCTAGGCTTTTAGTGAGGAAGGTTATACTTCAGACAAGGCCTTGGAAGGCAGACAACAGACTTTCTAGTGTTGCAATATAGATATAGACGAGGCCTTGGAACACGAACACCAGACTTCCTTGTGTGATGATTAAGATGTTGTTAAAATGCTAAAAAATAATTGAGTTGTAATTTCCTTACTGTCAAACAGTAGACTGAGTGTTTTCAGTATTATGTCATCATCAAATGATTTTGCGTGGTAACTCAGGGCTCTGATGATTCACTGAACGTAGTGTCACACGTATAGTTGCCTCAGTTTTCCCTGGTTCGTGGTTGAACTTCGGGTGTACAGGTATGGTGATCAGAATATGTCCATGTTATAAACCAGGTATGCGTATATATAAACATAGCTGCGATATATGGGGTTCGGTATTTCTACATGTGAGCCTCTAACCAGAAAATGTCTGGAGCGATATCAATCCCTCACCAGCGTTGCCACGTTTTACACATTTCTCTAATTCTACTCCCTTATAGTACTTCGGTAAATGTTGTGGAAATAGTACAAAGCCTTATCTATAAACCAAACAAAATAGTTTGATATGGTTTTAAAATAAATGTGTGTAAGGCGATAAGACTGATAAAACATTTACTTAGTCATTACTCAACATTTAAAAGAATTCGTCCTTTCTTCCTGATTTTGCGAATTGTTGATACACGTAACAACAATGCGATGACATCATCAGCGACCATGTTACAATATAAACTACACGAGACTCCGATATTACTAAAAATAGATATCTGATTCACTATTACATCATACATTATGTGTCACTTGCTGTAACGTAACTCACGCACAAAAATGCATACGGGAATGTATCAGGCTCTGTAATGTAACAGATGAGACGTGGCAGATGTATCGACTTTATACAACTGTATATCAACACAAGAATGGATGCAATGAAATTATGTTTTCCTTAACATATTACACAAATATAGTAATCAGGGAATATACGGCTGCTGTCTTTCTGACGTTTCAGCGTGATAATCTACATTTTATTTCGAATACATTAATTCTTGCAAACAAACATTTTAACGATAAAATATGTACATGCCGGCTCGATATCTAGTCAGTTTTTCACACAAAGTTGCATTTCTTTCTTGATTATTTGTCATTTATTTCAAAACATGATTCTTTTCTATTTTTAAAGATAATAGAAATAAATTATAGATTCTAAATATTGATATCGCAGAGAATAACTCAAAACTCTGCGATATCAATATTTAGAATCTATAATTTATTTCTATTATCTTTAAAAACAGAAAAGAATCATGTTTTGAAATAAATGACAAATAATCAAGACAGAAATGCAACTTTAGTTCTCTATTTTCATTCCTCAACCAAATCGCGGTAGAGGGTGATCGAACTTCATATGAATAAACACCTCCTGTAAAATTGATTTTGAAATATTTCCTTAAAGAAAATTAAATACTCATTTTGGCAGATTGCTATGACAGTTTTTATAACTTATAAACATTTACAGCTATTATAAGTCCCGTGTCTGGAATGAAAAAAAATGAATTCATCGGGAGACTAAAAACAAGTACACATTTATTGTGTACTAATACAGTTCAAAGTAATTGTTTTTGTACGGCAGCTATTGGCTATCGTTATTTCACTGAGTATGACTTCGTCAGCCAAGTTTTGATAGTGCCCTGTATAATAACCCCACACACAGGGCAGCGCCTCACAGCTTGGGCGCAAACATGACAACACACAAGATGGGCGCAAGGGAGAAATGTAATAGAAGCGTCCTCTTCCTCACATATCCTACACATTTTCTGCCTCCTCAGCCGGCGGTTCTCCTCTACAAGTCCTTGTATCTCACGTTCTGTAAAGATAATCAATCACATTATAAAAATTGTCAGTGGAATGGAGTTTTCAAAACCCAATCAATCTATCTGAAAATATAACCACATATCATATTTAAACTGCTTGCCTTCATTCGACCTATTTTATTTATTGATTTATATATAAACACATTTTAATGCAAACTAGATACTTTGTGATTTGCACACATCATTTGCAACATATATGCAGCTTTTCCCCAACTCATATCAAAAAACTGAGTTAGGGAGAAAGTGAAAGCATTCATTGGACACAGTTGAACGCCTTTATTTCGCTACAATTATTTATATTATTTGATAATCAAATTAATTTCGCGTTTTCTTTATTTCGCCAGTTATATGTCTGTTACTACATATTTGCTAAAACTTGAGCTCGCGATTAAGAGGATACTATTTTAGTAATGCTAATAACCTGTCTATCAAAATTCGCAAAATTTTAATTTTCGAATTAGTTGCATTTCGAATAAACGGAAAAATTAATTTCTGAAGAAAATAAACTGATGAACATTTATCATCGTTGAGAAGAACATGACAATAGTGTTACAATCAAGATGGGAGCACGTGTCCTACCTTCTGATTCTGTACTACTTGTGTTAGATGTATCTCCGCTATGCGTGCATCCCAGCCTATTGTCATCTGTGTTACCTTCCCCATTGACCCTGAGTATTTCCTCTAGTACATCTTGTATGTCTTTACTGTTGATATGTTTGATACCAGCTGCAATCACAACACATAATTAGACAAACAGGACATGGTTAATATCCAAGTCATCAGGGTTGTTCCAGTACAAATATTGATAGTATTATAATACTAGAGAACGATGTTAATATTTTTTTCAACTGATAAACACTAACATCGTTATAAACAAACGAAATCTGATTATATAATAGATTACGTTATGATCCCTATTATATTAGATATTTCCTATTATTTTGCATCTTATTAATCGACATGGCAATATAATAATATATCTATAATTCTTAATTTTATACCGGGGACATATAATGAGAATTTGTATAATACAAATATCTACCTTTACCCCTCAATTTGCCGACGACTTGTCTGGCAAGTTCTGTGGAAAAACCTTGCTGTAAGACGCTCTTGAACGCTGGTAAGTTCTCCACGTCCTTCTCAGCCAGGAACTCTGTCGCTGGACTTTCGCAGAAGTTCCCCCCTGGTCTGTCACTGGTACTGACGTTATCTTTATTCTTTGTAAAAGTAAGAAGTATCAGAATTCGTAGCCAAATTTCTGATAATGATGATTTCCATCTGTTAGTATTGTTCTTGATTAAAATCAAAAGTACCACTTTGCCTGTTATAATGTGACCATTCGAATTGAAAATCAACACCAAGTTCAAATTTCGCGTTGCAGAAAATAGATACTTTCAAATTTCATACGGGTAACATAAAATCATAAAATATATATAATTAAAGTGTTAAATATAATAGGGTTGGACAGCATTGATCTATACCTTGGAGAAGACGTATAGTTAATTTACAGAGCAGAGATAGCCCTCTTCCTAAATAAACTGTCATCAAGTATGTATATATATTTATAATAATGAAACGAAGTATATTCTGAAATTCGATCGTAATGTATGATCAGCCGAGATTACATTCAATGGCATTTTACTGTCAAACAACTAAAGTCTTATCAACATTATTATATATGATGACTATACACACCTGCTCTTGAGCATTAAGTCTTTCGTGTACCAGTTGTATAAAATCAATTCCCTTGTTTTGTCGCAAATATGCGCATTTGGGAAACCATCGCGCATGCTCAATCCATGGGTCATCCCCTTCCTCCCAGTTTTTCAGTCCTCCTCCACAGAAAAAGCACCTAGTGTAATCTGCGCAACCGGCGTACACGAACCCAGCCTCGGCCATCAGATTTGGTGTCTGTGAGCCAGACCAACCACTGTAGGAGCTCATTCTCACTGTCAACACAGCATATGCGGGGTACTTCGGCTTATCGAAGTTAACACCAAGCGGGGCTAATTTCTGCACTACTGAGGCACTGACAGAACCGGAAGTGACCCTGTTGGTTTGAGTTGATGTTCTTCGATTTGAATGATTTATCGGAGGAGGAATACATGCGTTTAGTTGCGAATTGTTATTGGCATTTTCATCTACACGGTTGTCGTTGTCAGGACGTCTTTGTTCATATGAATGGCCATTTTGATTTCTAGTTTGAGTATTGTTATTTGCACTCTGATAGCATTGATCATGCGGCATCTTTTTTCTCGGATTTCCATGAGTCGCTGAAGAGTTAGCAGTGAAGACATTTGCCACAAGACGAGGTCTATTGGAGCAACATGCCTCGTGAATATTTGGCTGAAATGAGTGAGAGGTATCTTTTGGAACAGCCTTCACCTCGATCATATTGTGTTCGATCGAGGGGTGCTCTTGATTTGTATCTATATTACGAACTGGCATGTTGGACTGATGATTAATTTCCTCACTCTGCAGAAACATGTCGTCCATATTTGAAGGACCTGAGTTGTTATCAGCAAATGAACAAGCTGGGAGATCATGCCTTTCACCTGGAGTATGAAAATGACTATCACGTACCGGACGTGTTGCTTCAACTGTTTCTTGACAGGCCCTTTGATCCCCTGAAGATGACTGTATTGTTCCGGTATCGCGAGGAATTGCAACGTTTGTATAGTCTGTACCACTTATATGTCTACAATTGGGTGAAATACGTCTGTGAATTTCGGCCGGGTCATCTCCAACTGACCAGTTGGATCGCCGTCTGCCACACGAGTAGCACCTAACCTCGTCTGAGGTACCCGTATGATAAAATCCAGCTCTTGCCAAACGGATTGGTCGAGCGTTAATAACACGCACATTTGCGAAGGACTGCAAACGTAGCCACTCAATATTCATAGGTGTTGTTGTATCTCCGTTTGGGGCGTCTTGAAAGTACATGTTTAGGCTGGACGGAAAAACATCCAGAAAAACTTTACGAGTTGGAACTTGCCACAACCAGGACACTTCTTCTATAGAGCGTTTTTCACATCCTTTTTCTTGGTTAACATTCTTAGTTTCCTTATTTTCATGCAAACACAGTTTTAAATTATCTGACATAAAAATCTTCAGTTTAACACTTTTGAAAATACCACTTAAGACACACAAATGCAGGAAGATGTAACATAGACTACTGTTGTACAGAACGGATGTGGCGAATACAATACAAAGTAAATATCGAAGACTATTTTTTGCCCACACTTGACAGTTATCTGTTATAAAACATAAGTTTTCATTGTAAACGAGGGATGTAATATGTTTTATGAAGCACATACAACCAGCACAGGCCTGCGTTTCCAGCATTCTTACTCTCTCTACCGCTCTAGACAAAATGACACTAACCAGAAATTGCAGATCACATTCTGTGATCATTTTGGTTGTATCCTTTTGTTTTGCCGGGAATAAGCAATTATCTGTACTCGTGTTAGTAATGCGTCCATGTGACACATATGCCATATCACAGATAACACGTGGAAAGACAATATCTAAACAAGTCAGGTTGTCCATAGATTTAGCGTTGTTGTTCTTCGTTATCTTATTCACGCACGCCGTTGTCTGGTCGTATGTGAAACGGTTTAAGTAAAGCAAACACCCGTCGGACTTGGACCGTCTTAGTGTTCTTATGGTGTCTGATGACTTCATTATTAGTACTTTCGATGTCGATTCCATGTAATCACCTGCAAACAACAGAAAGGCTACCTGATTACGGGCATGGTAATAAGGTACATGTACACATTTTATCATGTAAAATCTGTATCCCTTGTCCTAGTGTATATTTAGGTAACGGAACAACTTTCACTCACCCGATTTCTTTTATTGTTTTTGTTATGCTACAAAAAATAACCAACCTGGATAGGGATTAATAAAATCTAGTACTTGTAACTGAGCAAGATTGAGTTATCTCAGTCGGGGGTTAAGATTCTATAACAAAATCCCAACCGAGGCGTTAGTTCGAATTATTCTGACGTTTTATCGACTTTTTTCATATCGGTCTGTCGTCGATTAACGTCAGAACTCCGGCCCTCTATAATATGCGGGAAATATGCGACCCGCACCCGGAGCGCAATTCAAACTGATATTTTAGAAACAAATATTTTACAGACATATATCAAGTATATAATTTACCTGCCATGGTTGAAATTGGTAACATAAGGTAAGTTGATAAATGAGTCAGTAATACCTACAAAATGTGTAAATATATTATACACGTGAATGTCGCTGCTAGCTCAGACTGTTGATACTTTGTAGTATTGATTAGCCTGTGAAATACAATCCACGTACACGTAGGTATCAGTACATGTAGGTATCAGTACATGATCAGGCATGATGTGCGTCCAATGGTAAAACATATATCCTCGCGCTAGGTCAGCCAAATAAACTGTATTTATTCTCGGATTAATACTCCAAAATGATACATGCACAAAGAACTAACTGTTTCACCTATTTCTGAAGGGAAAAAATCAAAATGAACATATCGCGTCATCAGGTAAATGAAGCAGATACAGCTGTGTAGTAGTGAAGAGATGAGCGTCATGTGTACGATGTAGGTATGACCTGTAATGTGGATAACACGCTCGTTCACATACATACATGTATATATTATATACTGTTCAACTTTGCTTGAAAACAATTCAAACGAATGCACAATCTAGTGGGCGCAAAAATTGCTGCAATATAGTACTTAGTTTAAACAGTATTTGTATTCAATATATGGCAGTGACAAAATAATACAAAAATGAACAAAGAGGATTCAAAAACAAGTACATAAGTACTTATATCAATTCGTCTCCTTATTAATAAACCTGGCAGTAGGACGGCACTGTTACATATATTTTGATCATATAACAGACAAAAAGAAGAAGAAGAAATCAGGGAGGGGAGGGCGGAAGTGAAAGAAAGAACTTAACAAGAAGAAATGCATTACTTGATTGAATCTGGTTGGAATGTGATTCATGAAAAGGTAACCCTAATGAGCTCTATATAAGGATGCATTAAATACATAGGACATCTCTAAATTGCCTTACGTTGATTCCAATCAAAAAGTATACTGATATCCTATAAAATACAAGTGTTGTAGTCTATATTACTACTATAGTACTTACTTTCGACTGTATTTACCTACCTTTTTCAAAGCAATGAACAAAGTAAATCCTGCAATAGACTACTATTTACGCACTTAAGTTAACGTCCGTTCCAGCCAATGAAAATCTATCTGGCGATATAAACGTTAACAATTCCCATTTTTCTTATTTATCTCTCGAGTTACTTCCCTTCGCCTTACATTAGATACATGTGCAACGGGAAAATAACGCAAACATGAAGTCGCACATTGTATGAACAGAAACATGCCGACAGTCATCCACTACTTACTATCGTTTTTTGATATAAAGGTATTCGCCGTCTTTTTGCATCGATTTTGATCGTTATTTAGCTGCATTATTTCAGTAAATTGTCAAGGAACATACCAAACAGCATGTCCGTGAGGATATATCTTTTAATATACGCATGTCAACTCGAAGATGAAATCACAGGTTAACGTGGGGAATGGACAGAGATTTTCGTTCGTTAGTAGCAATAAAATAATGATATACTCTTCAAAATAATAATCAGTCTTTAAATCGTTTGTTCTAGCAGCAGCAGCTCCATGTTAATAAGTAAGGTAGATAAAATCGCTCATTTGTCTATGAAAAGATGTCGTCTAGACATGCAGTATATAATTTTGTGAAACATAATTTGGTAAAAAAATAATAATATTCCAATGAATTTCAATATTTGAACACTGGAAATCATTATTGTGAACAGAAAATATACGTGAAAGTGTTCAAAATGTTGAGACGAATTCTTGTGAAAGTAAACGTTAACTTGAAAGACTTAATGATAATATGGTGCTCTTTTTAAAACCAAATGTGGAAATAGATTTTTCAGAAAGTGATTGAAATCCGTTGTTGATACTTTTATAGGAACTGTCCCATTTTCCATGTTCTGATGAATTTAAGACTTAAGAAATTGACGTATCAGTACTTAAGTCTGTACATAGCATACAGTAATGTACGTAAGCTCTAACGAATTATCCCTATTACACATGGAATGAGCGAACATATGTACAGTATAGTAAGTTAACCTCCATATGTATAGAGGATAATAAGCATGCTCATGACATGTAGGATTCTGCGAGTCCGTTTAACAAATACAACATCGGTAATATTTGACTACTTAATTACGTGACTTACCTATTTTTAATATGTTTGCATTCGGATTTGTGTAATGCTGTAACGACGAGAATGTCCTCATTAAACCAGTCAATGTTTATATAGGAATGTTAAGTAAAGACAATATTTCCCTGTTCCTGTTTCAATATGATCACACTTTGTGAAAATAACATTTAAAGAAATGTGTTCAAAAAAATAAAGAACTTGATGTAAAACAAGAACTTCCGAACGTGTTACTAAAAATAACACCGCATGAAATCATCAATCTAAAAATAGCAATTATACAAGTTGTGAATCATAATAATACTTAAATGGGTTGATTTTTCGATTCATATAAATGTATAACTATTAACTATGTATATGAAGTTAACTTGTATACACACATTAACGATCAACATAACTGACTCCTAGGCTAAAAAAACGAGTCTTGAACCAGGAACCATATTAACTAACACAATGTTGACCCATGTGCTATAAATAGAAAAAGACGGGAAACCCCCCTAGTCTGTGGCTAACCGAAATAATCGGTTTAGACAGTTTCTTTTCATTAAAGATTGAGCAATATTATTCGATTCAGTTATTTGAAAATAAAATAAGGTTTTACCATGGGAAATCAATTTGAATGGTTTCTGTTTATTTGGACCTAAACTAATGTGTTCGGAGTAATTTTACATGTTTTAGGGGTTTAGATCGACTTTCGGTAACCATGATGACACCCCATTAATCAGGTAAAATGATCATGTCCCTCTGGTTCCTCATATAAATATTTGACTGTGCATGGGGATAACGACACACACAGTGACTACACCGGTTATACAATGTACCCTTACTACACACAGATAGCACACGTTAGCATAACAATAGAATAAAGAAGGTAAGGTTCACATCTGTAAGATCCCGTGGAGCACAACCAAGTAAGTATCACGCATGTATAAATTATTAGTGAATCAGTTTATACTCAGCTAGAAGTATAAATACAAACAAATTGTTCAAAGTAATAATACAAACACGTATGGTATAAACACAAAGACAATATTGTGTGTTTTTTTATATTTTACGAGTGGGGTGAATATTTTTATATTTTGCACATGAACAATATTCACCCCACGAATGATAGCCATTTATCACTGTCCTTCATCAAGAAGACTGTTTAAACATACGTTTTCTGTATAACTCGCTAATTATGTGGAAACAGGGAGTGTAACGTTACGATGCCAAAATCAGAAGACCTTCCTCTCTGATTAATTGTTCAATTATTGGTATAACGAAGATTTACATTGAGAAAATAAACAAAATAAATTTGGAAATCGACTATAAAACCCAAAACAATCTTTTCTATGCAAATGATCTTGCTCAATAAAATAAACAATTTATCTTTCAAAATATATACACATTACAACACTTTTAGTAGATGATACTAACATGATCTCTAACATATAGATGAGTCCTGCCTCGAATAGGCGTCACATATACATGTATTTCAATATCTCTGTAACCTTCTAACGTCACACACAGTGATCGTTGATTAATTTGTTATATTTCTATACTAAATAATAGAAGCATACTATATAAGTCAGAGGAATTTATATTTTTGTTTATTTTTTTTTTATATAGGACACGTATCGCTCACAGGGCACTGAACATTTATTATACAGCTATTTTTGCTGTGGCATTTTTACCGAAAGTCGATCTTCACACCTAAAACATGTAAAAAGTACTCTGAACACCTTAGTTTAGGTCCAAATATATATCTGTAACAAATCCTCAGGTCCCGGTGGTGTTGCTGTGTGGTGAGAAATCCGGGGAAAAGGCTAGGCGGGAACTTTTTTTTGTTTCCAACACAAAAAGCTGGCGCAATCGTGTTCAGTCAAACGACTATGATAGGAGGAATACATAACTATATTGATAAAGAAAATTTAAACAGGCAAAGTTTACAAACCTGTGTGTATTGCGAAATATATCCAAGTATAAGTCCTGTTGTGTTATTAACTACACTTTACATCCAAGCGGGCAAGATAACGCCATGCACTGTGTAATGGAGTTGTGCGATTGATACTAGTATTGATCGACCGGCCGCATCATGGATCAGATCACATGGAGAAAAGAGGACGATAAAACGTGTATTTTTGTCCTATCTTTAACGTTTTATAACGTTGCTAAACGTTTTGGCACGTTTCTTAGACTAACACACTATGTATTTAAGCAAAGCAGCACAGACATTCCCGTAATGTCCAATGACGTCTTGTATTCTAGTTTCGGAATGAAAATACATACAATGTACATGTATATATGTAAAAGATATGGTATTCAGTTCCTTTGACGTGGTCGTTATAACAGGTATGTACAGTAACTGAAGCTGTGCTCACATCACTCGTACGTATGGCATGTCCTCGTCTCATCAATAATGTATGCTAATGAGATACTCTATATTGATACAGTCAGCTACACATCACTTTTGTAAGCATATTGGTATGTAAGGCGATAATTACGGAAGCCTATTGAGCTTATTTTTGTAGGAGAAACCCTTATTATTTCGTGAAATACATTTTTTTGTGAAAGTTTCGTAAGTTATAACGCATTTTTTTGGTTGAATAGGCCCAAAATATCCAACCCCTTTGGGATCGTTTTCGTGTCTCGATTTGTTTAGCACAACCTCAAAAAACCGTGTTAATGCGCTACGAGATTGCAAATACAATACGAAGTTAAACTCGGCTGAACGTTATTAGGCGATCGAATACTTTATAATAAAGTACTTAACAAGTATCTTTCACAAACAACATGGATAAAGAAGATATTTTCTAACTTATTCTGTTTTAGTGCTCTTTTAAAATCGTCTGCTAGCTTGGTGATAAGGCCACACCACTATTCCCCTCCCCGTTATACTACCTGGGACTGTGTCCTTACACCTGCGCCATCAACCCCTCAACCTCCCCGCTCCTCCGCTTTCTTAGACAAATTACAGGTCACTTCAAGTTCAAGTTCAAGTTCTTTATTAACTTTGAGTCTTGCGACTCATCAGTGTAACACATATACATGATATATATATATATATATATATATACTTTCTCATAACTTTATATCGAAAATACTAATAAATACACAGACGAGACAAAACACTCGGAGAGCATAATTACTTATGTTAATAAAGCTCTTCTTGAATTTGCAGCTTTAATGTATTTGGCCAATTTTGCTAATTCATTTGTGTTTTGTCCGTTAAATAACTGAATTAATTTAAACATGCTCGGTTTTTTACAATAGTACTTTTTTAAAAAATTCTCACGTAAATCAGAATAACAGGGGCATTTAAGAATAAAATGAAATTCATCTTCGACATCATCTATATCACAAGCGGTACAGATTCTTAAAAGTCGCGGAATATTTTGATAACGACCTTTCTCTACATTTAAATTATGGGCTGAAAGCCGAATTTTTGTTATTTCTTTTAAGTAACCTTTCATAAACGATTTTCTTAAATAACCCTGTATACCAACTTCTTTGTTAAGACATGTATAAAAAAATCCTTTTGATGATGTTCTAATTTGTTCTATACAATCTTGTCTATAAATATCTAAAAGTCTTTCTTTAATTATAATCAAACAGCTATTATCAATGTTATCTGTTTGCCATATGTAACCTAGACCTATTCTATATAATTCATTCTTGATATTAATTACCCATTTGTCGTTACGCACTAACATGTCTTCATAACATGATTTTAAAATGCAATTATCAGTATTTATAATCTTTATCCAATACTTAAAAATTCTGAATTTCCTCAGCAGTGATAATGGATATCTACCAAGCTCTAAATAGACCATAGCATTACAAGTATTTTTACTTGATGATAAGAGTGAGATTATTACCAGGTGAATGCAGGCCCTTTACTCTTTCTTTGTAATTATTTACATGAAATCTTGCTGACTAATAATCTGAAATTTGATACTGAAGACTTTGAAAATCTATTTTAAAATAAAAATGAATTATTTCTGCTAATTATAATACTTGATCTTGATGACAAAACATGATCCAGATAAAACATTACTGGAAAGCGAGTGGACATTGCCTTCAAATATTTACTGGTTCTTCCTATCCAATTTTCAGTACTTTGATTTTCTTCTACGGAAATGGGCTGAATAGGTTTTCGTAGATACTCACATGCCCTCCAAGGAGGAATTACAAAAATGTAATAGTTCATTTCCTATACACATTACAGCATAACTTAGGAATCACATATCGTACGGTAATTGAAGCTGTATCATGCATCTTAATATTGAACTTGTTTCAGATTTCTAAATCTTTAACCGGATAAATGTTCTCTCTATTAAAATCCCATTATTTATCTGAATAATTAGTTTCGGGAATATACGATAGACAATGCTACATACGTATTAGTAAAAGTATTCAAACACAAAATGAACATTTACTATACGCAGCCAATGTGTGTTGTTCTTTATGTATATAAATACTGATGTCCATGGAGGTAAACATGAATAGCGTAAAGTAAATATTTAGAATGTAATATCAACATCACTATACATGAATTACGTGATGTGTCATTCGGATCTGATATCAAATCACACTATGTGAAACACAGTCAAGGACAAATCTGATACATAGAAAATAGAGCGAATCATTTGCATAAGCTGCAGGTATATTCAGGTGTGTGAAACACGTGAGAATAAGGTATATAGAACGTTTATCAGGTCTGTAGGAGCTCGGCACACGTATCATTAGAATCATGTATCTAGGTCATACGTGAGTAATGTGATCAGGTCATTCGAGAAAAAGATATCTAGAACACGTGTGCATCATGAGAGTGGGACTACGTGAATAAAGTATGTAGAACACACGTGAATCGTGTGCTTAGAACATACGTGAATCATGTGCCTAGAGCACACGTGCATCGTGTGCTTAGAACACGCGTGAATCATGTGCTTAGAACACACGTGAATCATGTGCTTAGAACACACGTGAATCATGTATGTTTCACGCATATGGATCATATATATACGGCACACACGGATCAGATGTACACACGTGTAGGGAACATTTAAGTATGTGTTTATTACATAATGGAAATTTATATACTCAATATGCGGTTATTTCATTGTTCATTTCAATGCACTTTATAACCTAGAATTTAAAA